AGAGCTCAGGGTGAGTGAGATCTGTTGAGCTGCAGAGCTGGTACAAGTATGGGGCAGAGCCATCGAGCTGCCAATGAGGGCACAAGGAAAAGGAAATGGGGATGTTGGAGTGGGAGTGAGATGTCACACTTTTAGTAGCAGTGAGCTGCCGCATGGGCTCAGCTGCCACTTGAACTATACCCAAAATGTGAACATAGTTTCAACCAGTTATAGAAGACAATTGGCAATTAATAGTGCAGTGGAACTATTAGAATAAAAAAATCCTCTGCTCTTGAAATTTTGATAGATTCTTTTTTCTTTTTTCTTTTTTTTTCCTTTCTGCCTTACTACAGCTTATCTATTATGCTGTGGTTACAGCCTACTTTGTGACTGGCAGAGAGACCATGAGAATGCTATAATCAGCTAACAGAATCACAAGACTGGGCTACGGAGTCACTCATGGATACATGCTTGGGATATCGCTTAAGCTATAGTTACAGTAGAGTTTGCAGTTTAGGGTGGGCATTTAAAGACCTGATTGATCTTAAAACTAGCTAACTCTCCTAATAAAATAGTTTAGTTTACTACAACACTGTGCTGGCACAAAATAATTTACTCTGTGCCATTATGGTCAGACTGCTTCCATTGTCTGTGCCAGCTCTAGTGCCTCTGATTACTTGGTAGACACCCGCCATCTACTTATGAATCCTATTTTTCTTTTGTGAACATGAGATTATACTCTAACCTCTTAGAAAGTAATTGATAGTGTGACAGTAAGAATTCATAGCACAGCAAGAATGTGACACCTAGTGGACAGACTCTATTCGGGAATCACAGAATCACAGAATCACAGAATCGTTTAGGTTGGAAGGGACCTCTGGAGATCATCTAGTCCAACCTCCCTGCTCGAGGAGGGTCCTCTAGAGCATATTTCCCAGATCACATCCAGACGGGTTTTGAACATCTCCAGCGAGGGAGACTCCACTACCTCTCTGGGCAACCTGTTCCAATGCTCTGTCACCCTCACAGGGAAGAAGTTTTTTCTCAGGTTCAGATGGAACTTCCTGTGGTTCAGTTTCTGCCCATTGCCTCTTGTCCTGTTGCTGGGCACCACGGAGAAGAGGCTGGCCTCATCCTCTTGACGCTCCCCCTTCAGATACTTGTACACGTTGATGAGATCGCCTCTCAGTCTTCTCTTCTCCAGGCTGAACAGGCCCAGCTCTTGCAGTCTTTCTTCATAGGAGAGGTGCTCCAGCCCTCTAATCTTGGAAAGGTGATAAAATTGTCAAGGAATACTGGCATTAAATGACCCTATCAAGTGTAACAATTAATTGCTACCAGCAAAGACATTGATCTTGGATGATTCTATGCACAAAGTCGAAGTAATTAGATAATGGAAATTCCCCTCTGGAGGCTCAGAAGTGAGAAAGGTGTCAGAAATCATTTTAAAAGGAGTTTTTTGTTAACCACTGGCAGAATGAAGATGTCAGGCCAAGATGGCCAGAGGGCTCCTGAAAGACCAGGACCAAAGCCTGTGAATAAACTGAGGATACTGAGGAGATGCACTGGAACTGGAGATTTCCTACATGTAAAACTCAAGAATAAAGTGCACTTAAAAAAACCCTTTTATTTAGCCTATGTTTCTCTTATTGCCATGTTATCTTTGCAGGAAATGAGAGTTTTCACAACCAGAGATACTTAGTGATGAAAAATATATGCTTAGGCAACTGGGAGCCAGACAAGACTGAGACACAGTTTAATAAGTCTGACTAACAAGTTCTGCCCAAAGCAGCTGATGCAAAACCACTTGTGTATGTCTGCTGCTCCCCAATGCAGTCTGTAGTACCTGAATTTCAGGTATCCACATTTCTCCATCTTCTGGAACGTTCTAGTCCTTCACTCCTCATTGGGTATTACAAAATAGAAAAATTAATCACCAGAAATTAAGGTATTTTATACTGGCTACAGAGTACAAATCATACTTTTTCACTGTAAAATTTACAAATTTAAAATCTGTATGTATTTTGAAATATGCTGAAAAGTATATATTGACTAATAGCCAGATGCCGGAGAAAGGGAAAAGCTTACCCTCTGGCATGGAGGGTATGTGGTATGTTGGCTCTATACACTGGCTCTAAAGAAACTCAGACTGGGAGCATTTTCTGTGGTCATCAGTTTTAGTGGATTAGCTAAATGAAGTTGTTTCATGGCCAACTGATTTGCGTTAGTCTCATTTCACCTGCTACACCTTTATAAAGCTACTCTTAGTAGCTCAGAGCCATATGCCCTGTTAGGCAATGTGGAGTGGTCCCACTTGGCATAAACCAAAAAGGCAAAGATTGTGCTACTTCAAGCCAGTGTTTTTCAAACTCTTCAAGACAATTTTTGGAATTGGTCTAGATCTGTGCATACTGTACAGATCTGTAGATCAAATTTGTGTGAAATACTGAAGCCCCTAATGTTTTCCCAACCAAAAAAGGTTTAGAGAATCTAGTTTAAAACCATATCCAAAAGCCCTACAGGACAGCAGGCCTTAGCTAGCTAACCTGTTCTTCAACTGTAGTAAGAGATATTTTGCAGCCACGCTTTGTTTTTTTCCAGCCACAAATGGATATGTTGAAAATGAATTACGCTAGTACAAATATCTTAATGCCACAGTGCAAGAAGTGTCCTCTTTCGGCTGTATAAAACGATGTTAGAACTAATCCAGCAACTATTGCTCTGAATAATCTCGCTGAAGGGCAGAGCTTTTAGGATTGGGCTCCAGAATACAATTTGGCCTAACAGCATCACAGGAAGGGAAAGGTGCCAAAAAAGGAGGACAAAGCGAGACTTTCACGGTCCATGGGAGAAGGCTAAGAGAAGTGTTGAGACAACACGGAGGCAAAAGGGGTTTTGCGGAAGCACCGACGCCAGTCGCCACAGCGGGCGGGAAG